CCTCATCTTCTCTTGGCATCCTTCCTCATCTCGATCTTCTGTCAACGTAACCTAACGTCTATCACCCGATCCCTCCCTCCCATCCTCGCCCTACCTACACTCCTCCTCCTCTCGCCTCTCCCTCCCTCCCCCCTTCTCTCCCCTCTCTCCCCCATCCCTCTCATTCCTCTCTCCCCTCCCTACTCTCTCTCTCTCTCTCATCTCTCTCTCTCTCTCTCTCTCTCTCTCTCTCTCTCTCTCTCTCTTGAATTTCAATCAATTAAATTTAAGGTCTTTATTGGCCATGGGAAACATATGTTAACATTGCCAAAGCAAGTGAAGTAGTAAGTAGATATGTAAACAAAAGTAAATAAACAATAATATTAACAGTAAACATTAAAACTACTGAAGTTCCAAAAGATTAAAGACATTTCAAATGTCATATTATGTGTATATACAGTGTTGTAACAATGTGCAAATAGTTAAAGTACAAATGGGAAAATAAATAAACATAAATATGGGTTGTATTTACAATGGTGTTTGTTCTTCACTGGTTGCCCTTTTCTTGTGGCAACAGGTCACAAATCTTGCTGCTGTGATGGCACACTGTGGTTTTCACCCAGTAGATAAGGGAGTTTATCCAAATTGGGTTTGTTTTCGAATTCTTTGTGGATCGCTGTAATCTGAGGGAAATATGTGTCTCTAATATGGTCATACATTTGGCAGGAGGTTAGGAAGTGCAGCTCAGTTTCCACCTGATTTTGTGGGCAGTGTGCACATAGCCTGTCTTCTCTTGAGAGCCAGGTCTGCCTACGGCGGCCTTTCACAATCGCAAGGCTATGCTCACTGAGTCTGTACATAGTCAAAGCTTTCCTTAAGTTTGGGTCAGTCACAGTGGTCAGGTATTCTGCCACTGTGTACTCTCTGTTTAGGGCCAAATAGAATTCTAGTTTGCTCAGTTTTTTTGATAAATCTTTCCAATGTGTCAAGTAATTCTCTTTTTGTTTTCTCATGATTTGGTTGGGTCTAATTGTGTTGTTGTTGTCCTTGGGCTCTGTGGGGTCTGTTTGTGAACAGAGCCCCAGGACCAGCTTACTTAGGGGACTCTTCTCCAAGTTCATCTCTCTGTAGGTGATGGCTTTGTTATGGAAGGTTTGGGAATCGCTTCCTTTTAAGTGGTTGTAGAATTTAACGTCTCATTTCTAGATTTGGATAATTAGCGGGTATCGGCCTGATTCTGCTCTGCATGCATTATTTGGTGTTTTTCGTTGTACACTGAGGATATTTTTGCAGAATTCTGTATGCAGAGTTTCAATTTGGTGTTTGTCCCATTTTGTGAAATCTTGGTTGGTGAGCAGACCCCAGACCTCACAACCATAAAGGGCAATGGATTCTATAACTGATTCAAGTATTTTTAGCCAGATCCTAATTGGTATGTCAAATTTTATGTTCCTTTTGATGGCATAAAAATCCCTTCTTGCCTTGTCTCTCAGATCGTTCACAGCTTTGTGGAAGTTACCTGTGGCGCTGATGTTTAGGCCGAGGTATGTATCATTTTTTGTGTGCTCTAGGGCAACGGTGTCTAGATGGAATTTGTATTTGTGGTCCTGGCAACTGGACCTTTTTTGGAACACCATTATGTTTGTCTTACTGAGATTTACTGTCAGGGCCCAGGTCTGACAGAATCTGTGCAGAAGATCTAGGTGCTGCTGTAGGCCCTCCTTGGTTGGTGACAGAAGCACCAGATCATCAGCAAACAGTAGACATTTGACTTCAGATTCTAGTAGGGTGAGGCCGGGTGCTGCAGACTGTTCTAGTGCCCTCGCCAATTCGTTGATATATATGTTGAAGAGGGTGGGGCTTAAACTGCATCCCTGTCAACATCTCTCTCTCTCTCTCTTCTCTCTATCTCTCTCCTACTCTCTCTCTCTCTCTATCTCTCTGGCTCTCTCTCTCCTCTCTCTCTCCTCTACTGCTCTCTCACTCCTCTCTCTCTTCTCTCTCTCTCTCTCTCTCTCTCCCTCCCTCTCTCCTGCTCTCTCTCCCTCTCTCTCTCCCTCTTCTATGTCATTAGGCAGGATGCTCTGTATTTATAACCTCCATAAAGTTTTTATGGCCTCAACCATTACATGGACATGCTAACAAACAAACACAGAGAGACACACACACACATACACATCACATACTCTACAGTACACACTGTACACACAGTAGAAATAAATCAACACACAAGCACTCCGGCGTGGAGAAAAAACAGTGCTGAACATACAGTACGACACAAACACACACACACACACACACACACACACACACGAGCACGTGAACACACATACACAGTCACACACACAGCCGTGATGTGAGTGGTGATAAAGGGAGTTGTCGTGTATCTATTTTGCTTCCGGGATCACGCCCCAGCCTTGTCCAACAGGAGGTCTTGTTGGAGGAGAAGTGTTTTCTCCTTGTTCCATCTCAGTGAGATAGGAGCGGCGACTTGTTTCCTACTGTACTGCATCGCACAAGAGCAATGACCAGTAGGCTTGGGCCGTACCCAGATTGTCATACTTTCATACTGACCTTGTGCCATCCCGGGATATCTTGGGTAATACCGGCTCTGAACAGAAGGGACGCTTTTTTCAAACCCTACTGAACCTCTGTAATCCAAAGGTTAGCAATGCTAACAAGTACATGTCAAATGCCATAGAGAATGCTAACTAAATGCTAACGAATTTATTGCAAACATTTTATACAGTCTCTGACCTAAACTATTTGCAGGACAGACATCCCAGCTCATAAAGTTATACAAGTAACTAAAAAATGCTACTCACAGTTTGCTGAATGCACTAAACAAATATTAGACAGCAAGGCTCTTGATCCATGAGGGGATTCTCTGCTGTTACCAAGTGAAGCTTGATTTTGGAAGAAGCTAACCAATTAGCTAGACAGCTAACTAGCTACTAAATTACCAAACCAAATGCTCAACTGCAGAGCATTTAGCACATTTTAGACAGTTAACTTAATAGCTCTAAGATATCTAGCTAGCAAACATTAAGTTGTGAATTCCATACTGTAACTAGATCACATGACGCGTGCTGCACAACAGTGAGTGACTCACAAAGCTCTGGTCTCTCATTATTGTGTGCTTGTAATCAAACACCACGTGACTGGGGACTAACGGTAAGCTTCATAATGAAAAATTATGTGACAGGTGAAATGAAGAACGCAATCTCCTAATGTATTGCACAAGTTGACAGCAGGTATTTACTTAAAAAGTAGATACAAATATTCAAATGAATTAAAAAAACTTCAAAGAAATAGTTTCAACGGTATTGACGGTATTGAAAAAACATCCCGTGGTTATTTCCAAACACCCCAGCATACGGTATTTAGGGTATACCGCCTAATAAATATCAGGATACAGAGAGAGATATGGACACAGAGATCTACACTGAAATACACAGGCTTTCAACCAGGCCTAGGGAAACTGTGTTAGGTCTACACAGCCTGACTCATTTAGCTGCTAGGGACACTTCTGATTCCCCGTTTTCACAGAACAAACCAAGCCAGTCACGACCTACCAGTCGTAGAGAGAGAGAGAGAGGACAAGGAGAGAAAACAGATACAGAGCAAAAAGGGGAAAGAAAGAGAACGAGAGAGAGAGAAAGAAAAACAGAATTTAACCTTTCCATCCACCCTAATCAGCACAGTTGAACCAGCAGGGCCCCGCGCTCCACTGCCTCATGCCCAGCCAGCGGAGCATGCACCTGGGCTGCTCCGAGCAGAGCATGCCCTCAACCCTGGAACTCACCCTGCAGCTAAGGCTGACTGAGTGTTGGTGTGTGTTTCTGTGTCTCAGTGTGCAGAGAGTGTACATGTGCAGCGGACTTTCGTAAGTGTGTGTTTGTGTGTGTCTGTTTGTGTGTGTGTGAATGCATGCATGCAAGTGTGTGTGCTTGCAAACGTGTGTGTGTACAGTATGTGTGTATGTAAGCGTGTGTTTTTGTCCCTGACCTTGGTCCTGGCTCTGTAACTCTCTGTGTGGAAGCGGCTCAGCCTCAGTGCTCAGCTGGCCAAAGTGCTGATCTGGACCAAGAGATGCATTATGGACCAACGCTCCAACAGCAATTAACACACCAGCAGGAGGCCACATCACTGTAGAGAGATGTTTGTGTGTTAACCTCTGACTTATTTCTGTTTTAACCCTGTAATCACGCATAATTAACCGTGTAAATATGCGCAATTAACTGTGTAACCACACGAAATTAATGCGTCCAAAATAGATGTTCATCCATAATATGTCGAATTTCAAAGGGAAACTATAAGATCTTGTTGGTGTTCGCGTGTGTGTGTGTGTGAGACAGAGAGAATCTCCTACAACCAATATACAACACTATCGCAAAAAAAGTAGAATGGAGAAAAGTGAAAAAGCAGAACAGCGCTGCAGAACGAAGAAGTAATATCCTAAACGAGTACACCCCTGCATTCCTCACTCCATCTTACCTGTGACAGTGAGCTCGGTGGTCCGGCGTACCACGAAGCCCCCGAAGGTGACCTCACAGGTGTAGTTGCCGATGTCGTCTTCCTTGACCTCTCTGATAGACAGAGTATCTCTCCTCTGGAGGACGGAGGCCCGCCACTGCTTCGGACGACACTCCTAGGGTCACACACACACACACACACACACACACACACACACACACACACACGTACACACACACACACACACACATCAGGGCATCAGGGAACAGGAAACAATGCAGAGGCCGTATGTTATTCAGACAGTTGTGAGGACTGTGAAGTGAGCAGTGGAATCATAGTGTGTCACTGCCAGTGAGAGAGAACCCATATGGGAAGATGATTTAGTAACCTGAGTTATTCTACTTATTGGATAGATGTTTATTGCACTGAACTGAATATTCCAGATTCAATATTCTCTGAATGGTAAGGACAGGGAATGTCATTTAAAAAGTCTCCACTGGCAAAATAATGTGTGTGTGTGTCTCTCTGTGTGTGTGTGTTTATGTATGTACAGTTGAATTCTGAAGTTTACATACACTTAGGTTGGAGTCATTAAAACTCGTTTTTCAACCACTCCACAAATGTCTTATTAACAAACTATAGTTTTGTCAAGTCAGTTAGGACATCGACTTTGTGCATGACAAAAGTAATCTTTCCGACAATAGTTTACAGACTGATTATTTCCCTTATAATTCACTGTATCACAATTCCAGTGGGTCAGAAGTTTACATACACTAAGTTGACTGTGCCTTTAAACAGCTTGGAAAATTTCAGATAATTATGTCATGGCTTTAAAAGCTTCTGATAGGCTAATTGACATAATATGAGTCAATTGGAGGTGTACCTGTGGATGTATTTCAAGGCCTACCTTCAAACTCACTGCCTCCTTGCTTGACATCATGGGAAAATCAAAAGAAATCAGCCAAGACCTCAGAAAAAACACTGTAGACCTCCTCAAGTCTGGTTCATCCTTGGTAGCAATTTCCAAACGCCTGAAAGTACCACGTTCATCTGTACAAACAATAGTACGCATGTATAAACACCATGGGACCACGCAGCCGTCATACCGCTCAGGAAGGAGACACGTTCTGTCTCCTAGAGATTAACGTACTTTGGTGCGAAAAGTGCAAATCAATCCCAGACCAACAGCAAAAGACCTTGTGAAGATGCTGGAGGAAACAGGTACAAAAGTATCTATATCCACAGTAAAACGAGGCCTATATTGACATAACCTGAAAGGCCTCTCAGCAAGGAAGAAGCCACTGCTCCAAAACCACCATAAAAAAGCCAGACTATGGTTTGCAACTGCACATGGGGACAAAGATGGTACTTTTTTCAGAAATGTCCTCTGGTCTGATGAAACAAAAATGGAATTGTTTGGCCATAATGACCATCGTTATGTTTGGAGGAAAAAGGGGGATGCTTGCAAGCCGAAGAACACCATCCCAACCATGAAGCACGGGGGTGGCAGCATCATGCTGTTGGGGTGCTTTGCTGCAGTAGGGACTGGTGCACTTCACAAAATAGATGGCATCATGAGGAAGGAAAATTATGTGGATATATTGAAGCAACATCTCAAGACATCAGTCAGGAAGTTAAAGCTTGGTCGCAAATGGGTCTTCCAAATGGACAATGACCCCAAGAATACTTCCAAAGTTGTGGCAAAATGGCTTAAGGACAACAAAGTTAAGGTATTGGAGTGGCCATCACAAAGCCCTGACCTCAATCCTATAGAAAATGTGTGGGCAGAACTGAAAAAGCATGTGCGAGCAAGGAGGACTACAAACCTGACTCAGTTACACCAGCTCTGTCAGGAGGAATGGGCCAAAATTCACCCAACTTATTGTGGGAAGCTTGTGGAAGGCTACCCAAAAAGTTTGACCCAAGTTAAACAATTTAAAGGCAATGCTACCAAATACTAATTGAGTGTATGTAAACTTCTGACCCACTGGGAATGTGATGAAAGAAATAAAAGCTGAAATAAATCATTCTCTCTACTATTATTCTGACATTTCACATTCTTAAAATAAAGTGGTGATCCTAAGACAGGGAATTTTTACAAGGATTAAATGTCAGAAATTGTGAAAAATTGATTTGGCTAAGGTGTATGTCAACTTCCGACTTCAACTTAATGTGTTTGTGTGTGTGTGTCTGTGTGTATCTGTGTGTGCCTCTGTCTCTCTCTTTGTTTGTGTGTGTGTGTGTGTGTGTGTGTGTGTGTGTGTGTGTGTGTGTGTGTGTAAGTGTGTAGGCAGAGTGTATGGCTCTTCTATCCAGGTACTCTCCTCCCTCTCTGGCAGGGATAACCCTGGCTCAGAGGATTCTATTCCACCATTGCTCGCAGCAACCTCAGAATTCAATCAGCTCGGCTGCGGAGCAGTCCAAATAACTGTTTTCCAGTGCTCCCAGTCATTAACCAAGCCTTAATTTAATTCTGGGTAAACCTGGAGGTCGAGCCCGACCGGCTAATCTACCACTGATCTGCCTTTGATTAGTTTGGCCTGGGCCGCTCCCTGGGATGCGTTCTGTGATCCGCAGGCCATGCCTGACCTCAACAGGGGAGAACTCAGGTGAGTAAAGTTAACTCGAGAGTCAGATAATATATATTTTAGGCTAAGAGCATTTAAAGGGCACACACGCAAACGGTCCTCCACTTTTCTCCGCTCTACTAATTTTCCGTGGGGCAAAAATGAATACCACGAGTTCACTCCTCATCAGTGTGTGTGAATAATGAATCCTATGTTACTGAAAGCCCTCTGTTCCCTCTCTGTTCCCCTGTCTGTTCATCTGTCTGTTCCTCTGTCTGTTCCTCTCTGTCCCTCTCTCTGTTCCCCTGTCTGTTCCTCTCTCTGTACCTCTCTCTGTTCCTCTCGCTGTTCCCCTGTCTGTTCCTCTCTCTGTTCCCCTGTCTGTTCCTCTCTCTGTTCCCCTGTCTGTTCCTCTCTCTGTTCCCCTGTCTGTTCCTCTCTCTGTTCCCCTGTCTGTTCCTCTGTCTGTTCCTCTCTCTGTTCCCCTGTATGTTCCTCTCTCTGTTCCCCTGTCTGTTCCTCTCTCTGTTCCCCTGTCTGTTCCTCTCTCTGTTCCCCTGTATGTTCCTCTCTCTGTTCCCCTGTATGTTCCTCTCGCTGTTCCCCTGTATGTTCCTCTCTCTGTTCCCCTGTCTGTTCCCCTGTCTGTTCCTCTCTCTGTTCCCCTGTCTGTTCCTCTCTCTGTACCTCTCTCTGTTCCTCTCGCTGTTCCCCTGTCTGTTCCTCTCTCTGTTCCCCTGTCTGTTCCTCTCTCTGTTCCCCTGTCTGTTCCTCTCTCTGTTCCCCTGTCTGTTCCTCTCTCTGTTCCCCTGTCTGTTCCTCTGTCTGTTCCTCTCTCTGTTCCCCTGTATGTTCCTCTCTCTGTTCCCCTGTCTGTTCCTCTCTCTGTTCCCCTGCATGTTCCTCTCTCTGTTCCCCTGTCTGTTCCCCTGTCTGTTCCTCTCTCTGTTCCCCTGTATGTTCCTCTCTCTGTTCCCCTGTCTGTTCCTCTCTCTGTTCCCCTGTCTGTTCCTCTCTCTGTTCCCCTGTCTGTTCCTCTCTTTGTTCCCCTGTCTGTTCCTCTCTCTGTTCCCCTGTCTGTTCCCCTGTCTGTTCCTCTCTCTGTTCCCCTGTTGTTCCTCTCTCTGTTCCCCTGTATGTTCCTCTCTCTGTTCCCCTCTGTTCCTCTCTTGTTCCCCTGTCTGTTCCTCTCTCTGTTCCCCTGTCTGTTCCTCTCTCTGTTCCCCTGTCTGTTCCCCTGTCTGTTCCTCTCTCTGTTCCCCTGTCTGTTCCTCTCTCTGTTCCCCTGTCTGTTCCTCTCTCTGTTCCCCTGTCTGTTCCTCTCTCTGTTCCCCTGTCTGTTCCTCTCTCTGTTCCCCTGTATGTTCCTCTCGCTGTTCCCCTGATGTCCTCTCTTGTCCCCTGTCTGTTCCTCTCTCTGTCCCTTCTCTGTTCCCCCTGTTGTTTCTCTCTCTGTCCCCTGTATGTTCCTCTCTCTGTTCCCCTGTCTGTTCCTCTCTCTGTTCCCAGTTCTGTTCCTCTCTCTGTACCTCTCTCTGTTCCTCTCGTGTTCCCCCCTGTCTGTTCCTCTCTCTGTTCCCATGTCTGTTCCTCTCTGTACCTCTCTCTGTTCCCTACGCTGTTCCCTGTCTGTTCCTCTCTCTGTTACCCTGTATGTTCCCTCTCTCGGTCCCCTGTCTGTTCCTCTGTCTGGTCCTCTCTCTGTTCCCCTGTCTGTTCCCCTGTCTGTTCCTCCTCTGTTCCCCCTGTATGTTCCTTCTCTGTTCCCCTGTCTGTTCCTCTCGCGTTCCCCGTCTGTTCCCCTGTCTGTTCCCATGTTGTTCCCCTGTATGTTCCTCTCTCTGTTCCCCTGTCTGTTCCCCTGTCTGTTCCTCTGTCTGTTCCTCTCTCTGTCCTCATGTTTGTTTCTCTGTCTACCTAGCGGTTAGAGTTCACTCCTCATCAGTGTGTGTGAATAATGAATCCTATGTTACTGAAAGCCCTCTGTTCCTCTCTCTGTTCCCCTGTCTGTTCATCTGTCTGTCCCTCTCTCTGTTCCCCTGTCTGTTCCTCTTTCGGTGCCTCTCTCTGTCCCTCTCTCTGTTCATCTCTCTATTCCTCTGTCTGTTCCCCTGTCTGTTCCTCTCTCTGTTCCCCTGTCTGTTCCTCTCTCTGTTCCCCTGTCTGTTCCTTTCTCTGTTCCCCTGTCTGTTCCTCTCTATGTTCCCTTGTCTGTTCCCCTGTCTGTTCCTCTCTCTGTTCCCCTGTATGTTCCTCTCTCTGTTCCTCTGTCTGTTCCCCTGTCTGTTCCTCTCTCTGTTCCCCTGTCTGTTCCTCTCTCTGTTCCCCTGTCTGTTCCTCTCTCTGTTCCCCTGTCTGTTCCTCTCTTTGTTCCCCTGTCTGTTCCCCTGTCTGTTCCTCTCTATGTTCCCCTGTCTGTTCCCCTGTCTGTTCCCCTGTATGTTCCTCTCTCTGTTCCCCTGTCTGTTCCCCTGTCTGTTCCTCTCTCTGTTCCTCTCTCTGTCCTCATGTTTGTTTCTCTGTCTACCTAGCGGTTAGAGCTAGGTAGAAGTAACTGAAAGGTTGAAGGTTTGAATACCCAAGCCGACAACTAAAAACATCTGTTGATGTGCCCTTTAGCAATGCACTTAATCCTAATTGCTCCAGGGTCACCATTGAGGGTGTCTCAGGGAGAGTTGGGATATGTAAAAAACACATTTCCAATTCACACATGCGTATTAATAGAAACGTGTACATGTGTGTAATAGGACAATTATAAGCACACACACACACACTTAGCCAGGTCTCTCACCTTGAACCAGGTGATATCGGGGTCTTTCCCAGGTTCTATGTAGTCCTCTATGTCTGGACAGGTGATGTCTTTGCTCTTGCTGAGTTCGGCTTTTTCCGTATGTCTCATCACAGAGTTGTAGCACAGGTCTGTGTCGTTCTCAGCCACATAAAGAGACATGGATACCTTCATACAGTAGCTTGAATTCCTGAAACACAGACACAACCAACAGGTCACTGACAGGGTTCACAGCACAGTAAGGGTGTTTTCACACTTGGTCCCTTTCAGACAATTTTTGTGAACTCAGTGCGGTTCCTTTCATTTTCAATTACAGCATTATTTATTCTGCAGTTATTCTATTGCTATTTAAAAATTAACTTGTTTCAATAAATTCAAAAAATAAATAACGGAAAAGAGGTTGCTATGAACCCCCTAAATAAGATCTGGTGCAACGATCTACCTTCAGAAGTCACATAATTAGTTAAATAAAGTCCACCTGTGTGCAATCTAAGTGTCACATGATCTGTCACATGATCTCAGTATATATACACCTGTTCTGCAAGGCCCCAGAGTCTGCAATACCACTAAGCAAGGGGCACCACCAAGCCATCGGCACCATGAAGACCAAGGAGCTCTCCAAACAGGTCAGGGACAAAGTTGTGGAGAAGTACAGATTAGGGTTGGGTTATAAAAAAAATATCCGAAACTTTGAACATCCCACAGAGCACCATTAAATCCATTATTAAAAACTGGAAATAAATGGCACCACAACAAACCTGCCAAGAGAGGGCCGCCCACCAAAACTCACGGACCAGGCAAGGAGGGCATTAATCAGAGAGTTAACAAAGACACCAAAGATAACCCAGAAGGAGCTGCAAAGCTCCACAGCGGAAATTGGAGTATCTGTCCATAGGACCACTTTAAGCCGTACACTCCACAGAGCTGGGCTTTACGGAAGAGTGTCCAGAAAAAAGCCATTGCTTAAAGAACAAAATAAACAAAACACATTTGGTGTTCGCCAAAAGCCATGTGGGAGACTCCCCAAACATATGGAAGAAGGTACTCTGGTCAGATGAGACTAAAATTGAGCTTTTTGGCCATCAAAGAAAACACTATGTCTGGCGCAAACCCAACACCTCTCATCACCCCGAGAACACCATCCACCATGTTTTTCATCAGCATGGACTGGGAAACTGGTCAGAATTGAAGGAATGATGGATGGCACTAAATACAGGGACATTTTTGAGGGAAACCTGTTTCAGTCTTCCACAGATTTTAAACTGGGATGGAGGTTCCCCTTCTAGCAGGACAATGACCCTAAGCATACTGCTGAAGAAACACTTGTCTTGGAATGGCCTAGTCAAAGCCCAGACCTCAATCTAATTGAGAGTCTGTGGTATGACTTAAAGATTGCTGTACACCAGCGGAACCCATCCAATTTGAAGGAGCTGGAGCAGTTTTGCCTTGAAGAATGGGCAAAAATCCCAGTGGCTAGATGTGCCAAGTTTATAGAGACATACCTTAAGAGACTTGCAGCTGTAATTGCTGCAAAAGGTGGCTCTACAAAGTATTGACTTTGGGGGGGAGGATGAATAGTTATGCACGCTCAAGTTCTGTTTTTTTTTTCTTATTTCTTCTTTGTTTCACAAAAAAAAATATTTTGCATCTTCAAAGTGGTAGGCATGTTCTGTAAATCAAATGATACAAACCCCCAAAAAATCAATTTTAAGGCAACAAAATAGGAAAAATGCCAAGGGGGTGAATACTTTCAGAAGCCACTGTAGGTGAAGTGAACTGGCAAAAGAGTTGAGTCCTCATTCATAGGCAAGGGCAGTGTGAATAGAAAGACAACAGTGGCATTTTTTCTTTGTATTTTATTGAGTTCACTTTAAAGAGGGTTGAGATTGGTTCTTTTAAAGAGGACTATATGTGAAAACAACCTAAGAGAAAATGCATAGAAAACACCACTCTGCTTATTCCTGCTTAGTTCAGCTATTCTTTCTTCTTTCTCTTTCTTTCTTTCTTTCTTTCTTTCTTTCTTTCTTTCTTTCTTTCTTTCTTTCTTTTTTCTTCTTTTTTCTTCTTTCTTTTTTCTTCTTTCTTTCTTTCTTTTCTTTCTTTCTTTCTTTCTTTCTTTCTTTCTTTCTTTTTCTTACTTTCTTTTCTCCTCCCTCACCCCCTGTCCTTTCTTCCACCCATTCTTCCCATGTACACACATGTACACACACACACGCATACACACACACACACACACACACACACACACACACACACACACACACAACACATACATATATTATCGGGGTTAGGGCTAACGACGTGTTCAGCAGCTTACTGAACCAAAGACTCACAACCACTATTGAATTAATGGACGGGCTGCACAGACTGCCCTGGGAATACTAATGACACAACACACACACACACACACACACACACACACCACACACACAACACACACACACACACAGACACAGAGACCAGGGGAGGAAAGGAACCTGCTTAGTCATCCCAGTGATGTAATAGCACTCTGACAGCACTGGAGCAAGTCTGTAGTCTGGCTCTCAATACAGTCAAATGGCTCCCTGCTGTCATCTCCTTTCCTTCATTGTGGTCTGTGGCATTGACGTACTGTAGACTGGGTCTCAATACAGTCAAATGGCTTCCTGCTGTCATCTCATTTCCTTCATTGTGGTCTGTGGCATTGACATACTGTAGACTGGGTCATAAGCTCCCTGCCATCCAGGACCTCTATACCAGGCGGTGTCAGAGGAAGGCCCTCAAAATTGTCAAAGACTCCAGCCACCCTAGTCATAGACTGTTCTCTCTGCTACCGCACGGCAAGCGGTACCGGAGTGCCAAGTCTAGGTCCAAAAGACTTCTCAACAGCTTCTACCCCTAAGCCATAAGACTCCTGAACAGCTAATCATGGCTACCCGGACTATTTGCACTGCCCCCCCACCCCATCCTTTTTACGCTGCTGCTACTCTGTTAAGTATTTATGCATAGTCACTTTAACTCTACCCACATGTACATATTACCTCAACTACCTCAACTAGCCGGTGCCCCCGCACATTGACTATGCAACGGTACCCCCCTGTATATATAGCCTCCCTACTGTCACTTTATTTTACTGTATATATAGCCTCCCTACTGTCACTTTATGTCACTTTATTTTACTTCTGCTCTTTTTTTCTCAACACTTTTTTGTTGTTGTTTTATTCTTACTTTTTTTGTTTAAAATAAATGCACTGTTGGTTAAGGGCTGTAAGTAAGCATTTCACTGTAATGTCTGCACCTGTTGTATTCGGCGCATGTGACCAATAAAATTTGATTTGATTTGATTTGAAGAGGGATAAAAGCGTCTGCTAAATGACTAAAATGTAATTTCAATGTCATACTACATTCCTTCATAATGAGACCTAGGAGGAAACCAGTGGCATTACCAGAGGTCTGCGTTAGAGTTCACAAATCTGCATTTTCAAAACGCAGACCATTTCACCTGTGTTTTCTACTGAAAGTCAACAGTGTTGTTTTGCTTCAATAGAGTGATCAGGGGCGTGCAACTATAGTTTTCCTTCACAGAAATTCCATTAGTGCAACGCATCCAAAGTAGCTCCACATCAGTCAGTGCTCTGTCTGCTGATAGAATGCCCGTTGGTGAATTCTCATCCGAGTGGAGAAGTGCAACTGAAGTGCAAAATTAATCTGATGCCGAGCAGAAATTACAATAAGAAGCATTTTAGATCTGTGTTTACAAAACGCAGCAAGATATTTGTTATGCGTAAAAAAAAAAGGTGCTGAATTCTGCATCAACGTGACCCCTGATTACTATAACATACTGTATGTTAGCATCACACAGTGGTCATCTGTCCAGAAGTAATGAATTGCTGACATTCTCATTCAATAAATGCAATGGTTTTTATAGGTCAGAGGAAATGTTTGTGCGCTTCATGGGTACAGTGTGCAGTGTAGTGTGTGTAGTGTGTGCGTATGTAGTGTGTGTGTGTGTGTGTGTGTGTGTGTATTGTATGATATCACAGATATATTTATAACATGTTATTGTTCAATAAACACACCCCCCCCCCCCCCCCCCCCCCCCCACCCCCCCCCCACCCCCCCCCCCCCCCCCCCCCCCCCCCCCCCCCCCCCCCCCCCCCCCCCCCCCCCCCCCCCCCCCCTCCCCATCTCTCTCTGTATGTGACCTGGTCAACAGTGATACAAGTCAGTATTCGACGTCAATCCATGTGTCAACTAATAGTCTTGGAAGGATCCTGCTTGATTCTGTAAGTAGAATTGTTTTAACTTGTAACTGTGTTGGTTCTGACTGTCTGTCTGTCATAGTTAGTAAGCAACTCAGTCTGCTTAAGAAGCGATTGCTACCCATTCACACTGGACGCGGGTCCAGCCACTTATTTTGTTCTCTGCAGATTACAACTCAATAGGAGGGGGAGTGGCTACACATGTGCTAGGCAATTAGCTTAGTGTTATTAGCACAACCTCTTTGTTCAGCTGCAGCTGTCTGCGGCAGCTGTCCCCAAAACGAAGACTGCCCCTGAAACAAAGACAGTTCTGCCAAGTTGTTCTGCGGGAGTTAGTCGAGGGAGGCATCGCTCTCTCGCTTCCCCAGATGTTTAGTTAATTTCTTTCCGATCTCTTTTGCATTATTGTAGCCTTTTCTGTAGCCTGTCAACTATGTGTCTGTCTATCCCTGTTCTCTCCTCTCTGCACAGGCCATACAAACGCTTCACACCGCGTGGCTGCTACCACTCTAATCTGGTTGTTCCTGCGCGCACGACCCACGTGGAGTTCCAGGTCTCCGGCAGCCTCTGGAACTGCCGTTCTGCGGCCATCAAGGCAGAGTTATCTCAGCCTATGCTACCCTCCAGTCTCTCGACCTCTTGGCGCTGACGGAAACATGGATTACCACAGAAAACACTGCTGCTCCTATTGCTCTTTCCTCGTCTGATCATGTGTTCTCGCATACCCCGGTGGCACAGGAATCCTCATCTCTCCCAAGTGGACATTCTCTCTTTTCCCCCTGACCCATCTGTCTATCTCCTCATTTGAATTCCATGCTATCACAGTCACTAGCCCATTCAAGCTTAACATCCTTGTCATTTATCGCCCTCCAGGTTCCCTTGGAGAGTTCATCAATGAGCTTGACGCCTTGATAAGTTCCTTTCCTGAGGATGGCTCACCCCTCACAGT